AACTAAGTTCATCTGTGTTCAAACTCAGACAAAGATACTAGCGAGCTTAATAGTTTTAGATATTTATTCATAACATAAACAGCGCTAGCATTTCTGTCGATTCCATTTCAGCTTAACCGGCTATCCGGAAGAATACATGCACCGTACTAACTGCTACGGCAGTTATTTTCTCCTTTGAATACTGCCCACCTGCAATAATGATTCCGTAACGTACTCCTTGCGCTATCTTTTGACCATTTGTCAACTTTTCGTTTCGTAGCTGACACGGTACAACACTTTTCTTTCGCTTACTTCACACGGCCAGTCATTTTGTTTACAAAGAAATGGTGTGCTATGCGCATGCGCTAATAGAGGGAAATCCCTAACAAAACGTTGGTCAGACAGGTAGAAATACCGATGATTTTCTTAGATTTAATCATTTTTATGAATCTATTTCAGCCAAATCCGATTGTTATTTTCCATAAGGAGTTTCACTTGATATGTTTATGTAGTATTTGAAAAAAAGGCAAAAAATAAAGTTACTTCACCGTGATGCCCCTTTAAATACAGATAACTAAATGTAAATATAGAACAAATGTCACTCCAAGTCCCGATATTTCGGCCACCTGGCCTTCTTCAAGAGCGAAAGTCAACAGTCGTTTCTTGCATATTCGGAGGTACAGGAAATGACGTACAAATGTATGACGGCACAATGACTCGTTGAGTCTATGACGTCATAAAAGCACACTGTCAGAAACACAAAACGTCAATAGTTTATAGAGTTGGGATATTCTGCCAACTTTATGTTGTCCGCCTTTGTAAACTACTAAAATGTATGCACACACATGTATATAAATATTATACAGCCATGCTATTTGCCATATTGTAAGCTGCTAATGTACTGTTAAATGAATGCCAATACATGTAGTTTATAATTTATATTATCTGACCAGGATGCTAATTTATAAATATTCATACTTTATACAGCATTATTCCGCCATCTTTTTATCACTGCTGTTGTTAGCTACTTATATATAATTATATCATGTAATATTATATTACCTGGGTATAGTTTTTAGCATGGAGATACTAAGCCAAGTTTTAATTGTTTTTTTCATTGGTAAGTACCGGTAATGTTAATAATGAATAAACTTACTCTGGAAATAATTATCTTTCCTGAAATGTTGTTTTCAGAAATTATTATAAATATATATTTTCCCCCATTTGACAAATAATTGTTGTTTATAAAAATGATTGATACAAATTATTATCATATTCTTTCTACATAATGATCATCTTGTAATTGTTACAGTTGTGTACAACCAAGAATTGTCGCAGTTTTGTGAAGGAGAAAAACACTTACGTCATTATGCGTGAATTCCACAAGTGGGAGGAACACGAGGACAACTTCCACGCCCTCATGAACTTGATTGACATGCTGATCTCAGATGAGCCACAGCAAGGTATGGAGGACCTCAACACTGTTGACATACCACAGGATATTGAGGAAAAGTTTTTGAAACAGGACAAACAGCGTGAAGAAATGGAGACATCAGACCAAAAGTAGTTCATGGATTGAAGTGGAGATGGAGAGAGGACCCTATGAAACCACTGTGTGGCATTAGAAACCTCCAAAATAGTCTACATGTCATCTTTTCTCTCCTACCATTTTCGGGAAAAGAGTAGGCCCAACTAAACCATTGCATGGCATAAAAGACTTCCAAAAAGGGTGTACATCTTTTTTCCCCAAACTTTTTACCATGAAATTTTTCTACATAGGTAAAATAATCATATTGTGTTAATAAGCTAAAGCAAAACCCTGAATGTCAATACCGTAGTAAGTCACGGATACATACAGCAGTTCATGGAATGGATGTGAACTGTAGTTCATGTAAAGTCGAACATGAAATTCATGAATTTGTGAATGTAATATAGTTTATGGACTAAAAACAAAGGTTTTAATAGGACAACTTTCTATTGTCATTCAAACTGTGTATCACTTATATTGATCATGAAAAGGAAGAGCCAATGCCAATAGTCTTGTTATTGTATTGATCAAGTCTGTTCATCCTCAATTTAGATACGAAGTGGCATGCAGAGTGTCCCTCCATTATACATAGGCCTTGGGTGGTGATGGGTCACAAACTGGGATGGAGATTTCCAGGTTCATTAGATGGTGATAGTCGACTGGGATAGAGATTTCCAGGTTCATTAGATGGTGATGGTCGACCATTTCCAGCAGTCATGGCTTCATCAGGACATTGTATTTACAGTCCTGATGAAGCCGTACCTGGTGAAACCGTTGGACAAGCAATATCTACTAAACCCTTAAAAGATCTCCATTCTGGCTTGTTGTGACCCATCATCACATGATGCCTAAATATTGTATCAGAGGTATTTCTTTTGGAGTCACTGCAAGAGTAACCATATCATTAGTGAATTCAAAGCCCTTATCACTATTTGTAGCAAACGTGAGCCCTATGCTTTCTTGCTGTATGATTTCAAAGTAATTTAATTGTATAAAATGTTTTTATGCACTTTGTTAAAGCAGCAATATTAGTGTTAAAGATGCAATATTTGTGATCAACTTACTTGATGTATTTCATTTATTGGAAGTGAATGTTTTGCACATTAGGACAGGAAATTGGACATACATTGTATTTCTTACAATAAGGAACAATTAAAAATCAATCAAACAAAACTTGATTTGTTGTGTTTATTTGAGATATTTTGGCACTTCCGTCATCATACCATAAATCATAAAAAAGTGATTTCTCAATACACTTAAAAAATTGTTGTCATCTGAAAGGGTTTTTCCAGTAAAATCCTCACATATAGAGTTGCATTTGTCACATGAATGCCACTGTTTTTCTACCACACCATCACATACATATTTATATGTTCTAGATGTGTAATAACAGATATTCAGTTATAAACAAACATTCCCTGCCTGATAGACACCAGCCAGAGCTCAATTTCTGGATTTAGAGATTTTCTAGAGATTTCTGACACATTTCTTGCAATGTATTAGTTTAAAAGTGGTTCTTTTTAAAATTTGTCATTTTAAACGCAGAATTCTCCGCCATAAGCCTCTTCAGACGTCTAGTGTTATTTGACCAAACAGCACTATGTATCAGTGGATTCTGGCATAGTACCAGATTTTGGTATTTTCAAGAGAGCTGAAACATCTTCGAACCATTCTGTTCTGTGTCTAGGTTCATTCCTGCTTTTCCTGATGGGAGTCTGTGTGATCATATCTTTAATTTGACCTTGACCCTAACCCAGTTTTATGCAATGTTGTGTCACGTAACAGGAGGCCATGCTGCTTCTAGCTCGAAGTGGTTAGCTTTGGGTATCCACTGGCTGTAGGCATCAAATAGATCTGAAAAATGAGGTAAATTAAAACAAGTTAGTTTGTATACAAATGTTTTTTTACAAAACCAACCTGAACAAGACCACCTCATGCAAGTACCTGTCTATAAAGGGCAGTTATTTCATTCCAGGTTTGTCCATTGTACTTGAACCTCTGCATAGAGACAACAGATTGTCCAGTACATGCATATAGATGAGTATGTTGTATCAATGGATAGTTTCTATAGATAGGTGGTCCATCTACTTTATAGGCAGTTCTAAATGTTCCCCTTTTTCAGGAAATTATTTTTACCAGGATTACAAATTTGCAATCTTGAAGAGGTGGTTTCAAGACACAATTCTTAACATCCAGTAAAATATCTACTTCTACAGAGTTCTTGAAGATATGAGGTATAAGAATTTTTATTCTGTGTCACGTGTTTACACAAGTATAACATTAGTTCTGTAGACCTATATCTGTGATGGACAATTAAAGATTTTTTTTTTTTTTTTTTTCACTGCCGTGTACATACAGGATAATATTTGTGTGTGTCAACATAACATAATAATCAAATTTCGGCATTAATGTTTATGTACTACATTTATGCAAAAATATCATTCATATGAAAATAACTTCCTACCCAGTACACGAATAATTTCTATAAATAGGTGTCCAGATTGTCTAGATATTGAGCATCAGTACTAACATGTTGGCTGTGTCTTCCACTTGCTGAGAAGGGTATCCCTGCAGTCCACTCCCTCACCAGCCAGACACTTCAGTAGAACTTCTGTTCTAGGCTGTAACCTAGCAACATATCACACCAAAAATGAGGCTATGATATATTTTGGTAAAACTTCTAACAAATGTACTGTCAACACAATGGGTCAAACTATTTCTTGATAACTAGTTTACTGATGATAGCTTCAGAGATGATTTTTGCAGAGTTTTCATCTAAAAGATAAATCATACATTGGGCCTACTACAGGCTGTAAATTAATTTATTTGTATTTTATTTTTTATCAAAAACCGATTTTCACACATTTAACTTTTTCCACATGTTATTCTAGGAAAAGTCAAATCAAATTTGTCTACTACAATGTACTAAAAAATATTATCCAAATGTCATTTCTCTCATAAACTGTTAAGTGAGAGGAGTTGTCTTGTATTTTTGGTACAATATGTAATCACAATGTTTTTCTACCTAAGACTGCCAGTAGGTAGGTACTCACTTTGCCCAAGTCTTGACCATAGTTGAGGGAGATGACAACAGCATGGTGGTGAATTTAGCAAGGCCAGGTATGACTTTACCCTCCAGTAAGAACCGTGCAAACCATTTGTACTTTTCCAGTGTGAGAGGGTACTCCATTTCTATAGCAGGAAGCCCCCAGGTACACCGACTAAACGTACTCGTCATATGACACATCACCTCCCCTTTCGTCTCATCAAATTCTGGAGCTGGGTCATCGAGTGGCTTGGAAAATGTGCAATGTGAAGGACAAAAGATGGGTAACCACTCCGCCTCCATGGCTACCAGTCCTGGAAACGAAAGACAGGAAAAGGTCAACCAAGGTCACATGAAGGTAACACAAGGTCACATGAAGGTCACCCAATATCACTCCATATCTTTTTAAGATTTCACAAAGTCACATTATTGGAGCTTAACGTCACACAAGGACATTACTTCAAGAAGCAAACACTGGATAGAAATTTTTAGAGGCAGTACTTTTTTTCTCCATTTTCACACTTATCCAACATGGAAGCAAATATTTCCATTGAAGTTACACTATATAGCAAAGATCTCAAAATTGCAAATTCAACAATGCATGAATCTGTGCATTTTAACATAAATGCAAAAATTACAGTGCACCATATCAGAGCTTAAAACAATAGATTTATCATCACAATTACATAAGCCCCTTTCGTATATTCAGTTCAACCGGTTTATCTGTTTTTAAATGTAACATTTTAAGGTATAAACCCTGACGAAACTGGGAATGTTCATGCAGGCCTTGCAAGGTTTTGTAAAGACTCGCCTGAAAGCAGCATCAGATTACTAGGTCTGACCTTATTTCATAAGCGAACAACTCTGGTCCAACCGGTTCAACCGCTTGGATCGCGATAATCAAAGGCAGCCATAAAGCAGTACAACTTCATGATTGAAATATCACCACAGAACACAACACTGCTATACCTTTCATATACAGCCTAGACGTTTCCTCAATACGCTGGTAAACAAGTAGCTGGGGATTTTGTCTGTACAGTACAGAGGAAGGATGAATAAATAACGGCTCTTCTAACTCCGCACACTACAAAGGAGAAAATACGTCAAAGGTCAAATATAAATAACATATTCAATCAGTTAATGCTGTCCTACTATAATTGGCAGAACACTCGTCCTTGAGCTCTTACAAAATATTCTTATTCAACATATCCCCATTTAGCACATTATTTTCGCTGCCTTGATATAATAGCAAAAGCTTGGCAAAATTTAAAAAAAAATGTTAATAATGGCATCTTCAATAATACAAGAAGCAAGAATCATCCCTCTTTCCTGCCATCACTTATCCAGATGTCCCAAATATTTCTGCAGTCCCACTATCAAGCCAGTGTTAATCTGGTTTTTCCCAGTATTAAGCCACCACTATGAGCCACAAGTTTTCCCACTATATATCTAGCCACCACTAAGCCTATGGTCCCACTATCCAGCCACCACTACTCCAGTTTCCCCAGTATCCTGCAAGTGTTTATGGAGGCAGTGTTTCTGTTTGATATGGAAGTGTCCCAGTAATAAACCTTTTTTCATAATCTAGACAATACAGGAAAGGAAGCTGGATTAATAAGGCTCAGCTGTAGTATGACATTTTCTATGAAATATTTCCATAATTTTACAGACCTGATAAGCATATTTCAACTTTTTGGCTTCATCGTCTGCTCCTGGTGGAGGGTCGGGGTACTTTCTGTAGAAAAACACCAAAGAAACAATGAAATAATCTTTTAAAAAACTCTGAACTAACACAGTATTCAGGCTTTGAAAAATAAATGTACACTAAATGATATTTACAACATACAGGAAGCTAATATTACATAATGTAGGGAACATGTTATCATCACCTTTATACAGAACATATTATACAGAATAATACTGACATGCAAATGATTTTGGTGACCTTTTCTATTATAACATGATTTTTTTGCATCTGTAATTCAGTTTCAATGATAATGTTTGGCTGTAAGTAATTAAAATTTCACTGTTCTTTCTCACTAGTGAAACACATAATATATGGTATATGTTTTTTTTACCTGGCTACATGGTAACCGAAGCCTGCTAGGATACACTCGTGAAACACTTGAATGGTATATGTTTTTCTTACCTGGCTACATGGTCACCAAGGCCCGCTAGGATACACTCGTGAAACACTTAAATGGTAAATGTTTTTCTTTACTGGCTACATGGTCACTGAGGCCCGCTAGGATACACTCGTGAAACACTTCAATGGTATATGTTTTTCTTACCTGGCTACATGGTCACCGAGGCCCGCTAGGATAATCTGTCTCAGCAGTTTGGACTGGAGGTCATTCGGTGGGTCAAGTTTGGGATCAACACAAAGGTTAGCACCTGGTATCACAGTATTTACTGTAATGGTCGCAAATAAAAGGCAAAAATTATTAGAACAGAAATTCACAGAAGATAATTATGAGCAACAAATTTGTTTTAATCACTAGATTTTCCTGCTATTTTTATTTAAAGTGAAAACATATTGTATAAATTGATCCTAACACCAGAGATGATGTTTACAAAATGAGAACAAATATTGGCTAGTATATCAAAAGTATATTTAGTACTGTATTCAAGGGAATTCAAATAACAGGCCTGTTAACTTTTATGACACAGTAATAACTTGCTTAACTATGGACCACTCTCACTGGTCAAGGCCATTAATTTAAGGGTTTATAAAGACCAAAAGATTTCCCATTTGAATAAACTAAAATCTCCACCACAGGGCTATTTGCCATTTTGGGACAACAGGTCAATTATACACCGGACATTTTTTTAGTTGGGCATTTAGCTGACTTGTGCATGTTTATGTAAGTATGTATTCCTGTACCGGAGTTAGTAAGTTGAACACGAAGCTTCCTGACTTCCTTCATGGCCTTAAAGCGTATCCCGTGTTTCTGACAAAACTCCGGAGTACAACCCTGGTATTCACACGACCCTACAGCCTTCAGCAGCACCGTCAGGTCGCCCAGCAACAGTGAATGCCCCTAAAGAAATAGAAATGGAATATACATGCTAGTGCTATATGACAATCAATGTCTAGACAGGTCTTCTGTCACTCTTGTCTGCCTCAAGAGTGTAGTAACATAGCAACAAAGCAAATGTAACAAGACCTAGTGCATATGTGTTCTAAGACAAGGTCAAAGTATAACAGGATCTTATGCAGGTGAAGTATGACCTATTCCAAAAGTGATATCACAGTATATATGTGTATTAACATTTGGTGTAGCAACACCATTCTATATCCTTTCTATGAGGAGGTTCATTTATTTTTGAGGTGTATGCGCATGCATACATCGTCTGAGCACTACTGCTAAGAATGTGTGACTATGTACGTGGAAAACAGTTCTTTAAATATTACTTAAAACTCTTTACCTGACCCTGATTTAAATATGATTATTTTATTCGTTTCAAATATCTTCTATTTATTTAAACAAACGAAAAAGATAGGATAGCTTTATTTCTCATTCCGATTTTGAGTTATAGGAGGAAACATCAATCCTAATTGCTGTATAGATTTTGAAGACCTATTGGTATAACTGCAACATGTGTCGCAGACAAACTTTCCATGGTGTGTGCTTTCTTTATTACTTAAACGGATAAATGTCCTGTATTCAACAGATTTCAATTAGCTGACCAGCAGATGCTACTTTTTAAGATTTAGTATGACAGTTTACTTACATTGCCAGCCCACATCTTTTGAATCTGCTTGAAGTGCTGTAATCTCTTTTTAAATTCATCTTTCTGAAATGAAAGAAATTAAACTGACATCTGAAAATGTTCAAGAATATTATTCATTTTACACATCATACGCTGTAAAATTAATATACATACTTTGGTGGTAATCTGATGCAATTGTTTATGATGCCTCTTGATCTACATTGTTTAATTGAATACAACTATAAAATTTAAGAAACTTGCTGTTTCATTTCAAGATCTGTTGAAGTCAATTACTAAACAGTGGTGGTTAGGCAAGGGATTGCTCTCTGCTTTATAATGATATACATGTACAAGCTTTGAAGGAAATAATCCTGTGCCACTTTTAGAAACTTGGTTTGGAATCAGCCATAGTAGAAAACTTGTCTCAGATGTATTGATGTGTAAATATACTGTCACATGTGTAAATATACTGTCCCGTCAAATACTGACTGCGCTGATCTTAAATAAGTTTGTAAAATACAATAGGGCTGAACTTTCTATTAGTCAATCTCCTAGCTGACCTGATACAGATAGTATCTAAAGACTGATGTCACTACTAGAATCCTAAAATCATAATAAGATGGTTTTGCTACAAAGGCATACATGAATATGTTCCTCTTAACATGATTGGCTGTGATGTCTAGAGCTGTGTTGGTAGGCAGGTATTCAACTTTGGAAGCTGGAACGACATGAGTTGGATCTATAAATAGGATCTTGGCAAACTGTATAGTAAAAACTCGATATAATGCTACTCGTTTCATTTGCCACCTCGTTTACCGCTAACATATTTTAATGTCCTGTTTTCTTGTTTTCATAAGAATTCTTCTACAAATTTCCCTCAATTTATCGCCAAACCCCTTTATTACGCCAAACCTCTCTGGACAAATGGTGGCAGTATCATTAAAATAAAGTTTTGCTGTATTAAAGATTACCTCAAGGCAGCCTTTGATGTCTGCATTTGATTCTTGTCAGTGTGTACACAAACAATAAATAAAACATCACAAGTGATAGTACAATTCCCAGCTGTACACATTCCCCACATATTGAAATCATACGTATCTATGGAATGATCAAGCCATTTCCTGTAAATTCTAATTTCAGTAGCAGCAACTTTGACAAATAATGACAACACTCAAACTGGTTAAAGGTATACTCAAGGCAAACATATGTTTAAAGATTTATGAGGTTTTAATAAATACAGCCGCTACAGAGATTACAAGCCATTTTGTGTAAAAAATGTATTTTAGTAGTAGTGACCGTGACTTTGACCGATGATGTTCATCAAGGCAAATATAACTGTGAAGTTTCAAGGCAATGTGCTGACAAAAGGCATTTAGAGTGGTGATAATGATAGGGTGATGTATTGTAGTAAAATTCTAATTTTAGTACAGTGACCTTGACATTTTTGTCTGATGATGCCCATATTCTTATTTGTTCAAAGTATGTCAAATCAATCATAACTATGAAGTTTCATGATAGTCAATATACACAGGAAACAGCCAACAGAGTGATAACAAAGAAGGTCACATACAAACAGAGAGCTATATCCCCTCAAACTTTGTTGGAAGGGGGATTATATTAATTCTATCAACCATACAGCAAGACTTACCTCCCCCGACTCATCTGGCGGCTGATGTAGCTCCACAAAGACTTCAGCAACAGACAAGGCAGCTACCATGGCAACCACGTAGGGGAGGAGATCATGCTGGTGTCCCAGGGATAACATCTTGGAGTACCTCGGGGACACGGGGAAGTGGGCCATGGCCCTACCAAGGGGTGTGATTTGACTGGGTACCTCCTTACTTTTGTATCGGGACTTTGGACGTGACACAGGTGCGGTCAGAGCTCCTAAAGACACCAGCAATCTCTCTGCAGCCTGCAATAGTGACATGAAATGTTTTTGTAGGAATATATTTAAAACAGAAGACACAATCCCTATTTTTGTGAATTTGTTAACTTTTCACTTGTGATAAAGAGACAGCAAAATTATCTCTTTTTCAAGATGTTATGTTTGCAAAACATAACCCCACATGTTGGTTCCAGGAACAATATCACTGAAGACTAAAACACTACACAAGACACAATTTTTCATGATATGGAAGTCTAAGAGAAACTCATTTGATCAAGACAGACTCAGATTTATCGTATTCCTACATGCATCAAAATTATTTGAGAAATGTGCACTTAATACAGAAGCTGATATTGGTAAAATAGACACATTCTTAAATCACTGTTGGTTTGTAGGTATTTTCTAGAACTTTGACAACAGATTATCAACAGCTTTCTTTCCTTCTCTCTGTACAAGATTTCTCACCTTGATCTGTTCCCAGTCAGGTGGTGTTGGGTAAGGAAAGTTCATGACCTTATCTATGTTCATGTCCTGTAAGCAAAACAACAAAATCTGTTATAAATACTGAAATCTAACTGTCAATAAACATTACAATATATACACAAAGGTACTTAAAAATAACATTCAAGAGCATTTGTTTTCAAAATTAGTTTCAGAGGTAATATCAACTGTGAAGACAAATACATGGAGATATTCATCATCAGAAATAGAGATTTTCAATCACGGCAGACTTTGTTCAGACTGTCTGGAGTGGGACAAACAAATACAACTTCATTTTCTATGTTACAACAGTTACTACAATTGAACTAATAAGGAAATGTATTATTATTTGAAACTTAATTTAAATAACATAAGGAAGGGTAGGCAGAACTGGGATAAAGCCTATTGCTCATAATAATTAACACAACTTTCTCCCACCTCCTCAATATGAAATTTCATTTTCCACTGTATAAACAAATCTTCCTAATAATTTCCTTCTAAAGTCCAAATTTTTTAAAAGATATATTTGATTATGTAAGCAATGAGAAATCCACGATGTTCCAGTGTGAGAAAATTTCTTATGACAGATGATAAATATTCAATGACAAATAAATCAGAGATTTTCAGTCACCTTCATTTGTAAGACTAGGTCATCTACAGGCCGTCTGGTGATTTCTGCTGGGGAGAACTTCTCAAAGTCATGTGTAAACACAGCTGAGGAGTATAGCCTGTAACAGTCATTTGTTTGCAATGAACACAGTTTTTATCTAAATTATTTAAGTTACTGTCGACATTAGAGAGAGTACCGTACATACTTGTGTTTTGTGTGCAGGTACTTTTTGGGTGAACTTTTTTGTTTTGAAATATGAAAAAATATGAATAAAAAAATATTGAGATTTTTTTGGGGGGCAAAAATGTCAAGCTGGACTGATAGCACTAACCAGGTAGGTCACTAATGACGGTAAACTAAATAAACACATTCGTCCAGGTAATTAAATATCGTTAAATCATTAATAACTTATATACATGGTACAATCATTCTTTATTACCTCAATTAAACCTTGGGGTTAATCACTTACATGGTACAATAATGTGTCTATATCACATACCTGTAACAATGTCCAGGCCCCGTACGTCCAGCTCGTCCTGCCCTCTGATTGGCTGAGGCACTGGATGTCCAGGTTATTCGGAATGTAGACACACCTGTCACTTTGTCGTAGAACTTTGTCTTCACCTAAAATTGATCACATTTGTATTACAAAGTCAGACATCTTAAATATACAAAATCAATGTCAGTTTTTTGTCTTGCAGCATTTAATGTACTTGCACTTGGAAGTATTGAATAACCTGTTTATCTCAGATTATTGTCATGGTTCAGTGAAGTTAGATTGTAAATAAAGAAATAATTTTTAATACTAGCTATTTAATGGGTAAGTTTGGAGGTGGTTTCACTTTTTCACTCTACATGGTACACAGAAACTGTGAGCATATTTATATTGAGATGGAAATTATTTTCATTAATACAGGACTGTCATAATACACTTAATATTTTAAATCATCATACACGTATCACCAATTCACATTATTTTTGAAAAACAGATGACTGATATTCTGTTCTTATCAACTATTCACAAGCCCGTTATAAAATATCAATGAAAAATATCACAGTCATTTAGAATGAGTTCACCAATAACTGTTAATTTATTATTTTGTCTTTAATATGCATACTTAATTAATGAAATGCCAACAATACTACTGTATACCTGGACATTTTTGCTGCACTTTAATAATTTTCTACTTATTTGTAATGAGGGCAAATTCATCATTACAGCGAATATAAATACATAGCATTATAATAAACATAGTAATTAATTTTGAAGGGAGTAATTAACACTGGGTGAAAAATTGTTTCCTGCGCAAAGGGGCGAAAGTTGACCCGGGCGAAAATTTCCCAGTATACATTATCTGTTTGAGAAGAAATTTTAATGCAATAAACTGCCTATATACAGCAGACCTAGTGCCACAAATACTACAAACTGGGTGTGGTGCGATAACTGAAAGGCACCTGGTGTGGTTCTTTTGTGTAAATTGTGGATAGAAAATGATAAAATTGAAGAATTAAAACTGAAATTCTCACCTTTCCTGTATCCACCACATATTTGACATTGGGGATGGTGAGGGATGTCTCTGCTACGTTGGTTGCCACGACACACAAACGGTAACCATTGGGGGGTGGAGCAAACACCTGTAAATCACCATTAGATAACCAATCAAATAAAGACCCATGATATTTTACATGAATGTTATATAGCATTACATTATAAACTCAGTATATTTTACAATACTTATGAAAAAATGTTTTTCCAACTTTTATGAATCACAATTGATGGCAAAGATGAATTGATGGAAGTGCAATGAGAGTTACACTAGCATTCAGACAGTTCTCCTGAACCTTTGTAGAACAACATTAATACAGTATGATATACTATTTTTTGTCAGAAGACAAAATGGAGCTGACAGTCAATATGACTTAATTACCTTTGCTTGTCTGTCAGAAGACAACATTGAGTAGAGAGGCAGAACGAACATCGGGTCTGAACACCCACCATCCTCCTGTCAATTACCCAATAACAAAACACACATCTTAGTACCATTCTATATATATATGGCAACTTGGCAAGTGAATATGATACACTAAACCCCAGGATCACAAAACAGTTCAAACAAGTCCAAACTACCATCTTCTTATATTTCTTTTCTCCGGTGTCATATAAAGATGTGAATTTGTAGGGAGTTTTTAATGGAGAAGATTATTTTTTTCAACTTCGATTTAAGGCTGTTTCATGATCCAAGAGAAAGCAGTGAGATAAAAAGTAACATCAAACACAGTTAAACCAGTGATGGTGAGGAATATTGTACTCTTTTTGTGTGATCCCTCATTTTCATGGATTTGCTTATTTTTGCTTTTTTTTTTTATCTGGTGGTTATAACAGAGAGTGCTGAGGTAAGGATGAATTCATTTGGTTATTTTTTCATTTCCAATTTTTGTTGTTTTGTTTGTGAAAATCATTTACTGCAAAACTTAGTACCCCATAAAATCAAACATCTAAACTTTGCTAGAAATGCTGATAGGGTGCAATGACCATTATGAAAATATTTAATGTAAAACTCTTGGCACTATATTTGGCTGAACTATCCATTGAAGAATATTTCTCCTACCCCAAGTATATTATCGTCATCACTCCCGTCTGAAGTTTCATCAAACTCAGCCTCCGAATCACTTCCACCCTCTCGCTCCTCTTCCTCATCTGTGGGCTCAACTGAGTAACTGGAAACAAGGACATATTTATACATATAAGCAGGGACAGTATATAGAGGGGATTGGCAACTCTGCCCCAGACAAGATTCTATAGCACGTCGCTTTTGTGTTTGTTCACCGAACCGCGAAGTCATCGAGAGCCCCTCTCGATCAGCCCGCGCTTGCGCACTAGCGTTAAAATCATGTCACCAATCTCGCCGAGATGGGAGTGTTTTGATAACGGTTAGCCCTGATTGGGACTGTGTATTAGTAGGTCTTCTTTTTATTCCAGGGATAGGGCTATCGTTGCCACTATGTCTAGCCTTTCGGCTGTGTTGGTGGCTATTACAACAAATCACATTTCGTAAAGCACGTTCCAGTGAAAATAATGCTAATATTGACACTTTTTGACACAAAAACA